GGGGAGGGGTGTGTGTGTGTCGGGGGGTCGGGGTGTGGTGTGTGTAAATTCGCACATTGTATTTTTCTATGTTCTGTGTGAATCTGTATTGGTGTCACAGTGTGTATACTTGTGCGTATCTGTAAATATTTGTGTCTTGTGTATATTCTGTATGTGTGCGTGTTCTTTATGTTTTCTTGTGTTCCATGTAGATTTGCTTAAATCCATGTGTCCTGTGTCTATCTGTGTGGATGGTTCCTTGGTTGAATCGTTTATGTCAGATAACGGATAGCTGGCTCTGTTGCTGTTTAACCATCGTCCATCACTCATTTTTGCTTCACTTGCTGAGTTTACTCTCAATAGAAATACATTGAATGTTTTGATGTTAAGCTGCTGAAGTCACATTGAACTGTTCTTTATAATCCTGAAATGAACGGCTACTACAGACTCAGCGTAGAGTCATAGAGATGTACAGCATGGAAACAGACCCTTCAGTTCAACTCATCCCTGCCGACCAGATATCCCAAATAAATCTAGTCCCATTTTCTAGCATCTGACCCATAACCCTCTAAACCCTTCCTATTCATATAACCATTCAGATGCCTTTTAAATGTTGTAATTGTACCAGCCTATACCACTTCCTCTGGCAGTTCATTCCATACACGCACCACCCTCTGCGTGAAAAAGCTGCCCCTTAGGCCCCTTTTCTTTCTTTCCCCTCAGGCCCCTTTTATTTCTTTCCCCTCACACCCTAAACCTATGCCCTCTAGTTTTGGACTCCTCTACCCTGGGGAAAAGGCCTTGACTCTTCACCCTATCCATGCCCTTCACAGTTTTAAAAGTCTCTATACAATTACCCCTCAGCCTCCGACACTTCAGGGTAAACAGCCCGAGCCTAATCAGCCTCTCCCTATAGCTCAACCCCGGGAACACCCTTGTAAATATTTTCTGAACCCAAGTTGCACAACATCTTTCCTATAGCAGAGAGACCAGAATTGAAAGCAGTATTCAAAAAGTAGCCTAACCAATGTCCTGTACAGCCGCAACATGACCTCCCAACTCATATACTCAATGCACTGACCAGTAAAGGCAAGCATACCAAACACCTTCTTCATTATCCTGTCTAGCTGGATTTTTCCTGGAGCGTCGGAGGCTGAGGGGTGACCTTATAGGAGGTTTATAAAATCATGAGGGGCATGGATAGGGTGAAGCGTCAAGGTCTTTTCCCAGGGTAGGAGAGTCCAAAACTAAAGGCATAGGTTTAAGGCGAGAGGGGAAAGATTTAAAAGGGAGCTAAGGGGCAACTTTTTCACGCAGAAGGTGGTGTGTGTATGGAAGGAGCTGCCAAAGGAAGTAGTGGCAACTGGTACAATTAAAACATTTAAAAGGCATCCAGATGGGTATATGAAGGGTTTAGAAGGATATGGGCCAAATGCTGGCAAGTGGGACTAGATTAATTTAGGATATCTGGTCAGCATGGATGAGTTGGACCGAAGGGTCTGTTTCCACGCTGTACATCTCTATGACTCTATGTTAAATTGAAGCCCTAGCTACCTGCTGGGATGCGTGTAAAAGATCCTGTGGCACTATCACAAAGAAGAGCAGGGGTGTAAAAAATCCATGGTGTCCTGGCCATTAGTTATCCCTCAATCAACGTCACAAGTAACAGATGATCTGGTCATTGTCCCACTCCTGTTTGTGGGATCTTGCTGTGTACAAACCGGCTGCTGTGTTTCTTCCAACAGCGACAACACTTCCGACACATGCTCCTGGTAGCTTGAAAACTTCTGGATGAATGGAGGTCTTTTTTTTTTTTTTTTAAGGACAGAGATGAAGAGAAATTTCTTCACCCAGAGAGTGGTGAGCCTGTGGAATTCTCTGCCACAGAAAGTGGTTGAAGCGAAAACATTGAATGTCTTCACGGAGGAGTTAGATTTTTTTCTTAGGGCTAACGGGATCAAAGGATATGGCAACGAAATTGGGAACAGGGGTCGGAGTTGGCTAATTCATTCCCTAAGGGCATTGTGAGTCTACCTACAGCACATGGACTGCAGTGGTTCAAGAAGGCAGCTCACAGGGTAACTACAGATGGGAAAGAAATGATCAGCTATGATAATTTTGAATGGCGGAGCAGGCTCAAAAGGGCCGAAAGGCCTACTCCTGGTCCAAGTTTCTATGTTTCAAAGAAGTGAGGATTCTAGGTAAGAGAAAACTGTGTCAGATGGTGTCTCTGGGGTTTACAAGGAATAAAGTGGGAAACTTCAAAGCTGCCCTGACCATAGTAATATCAATGGTGAAAGTAATAAAGAGGGAGCTGGCAACAGCCATATGTCAGAGAAAGGACCACCTCGAGGACTACACAAACTGCTTGAAGGGACAAATCCTTCACTTAGAGTCATACAGTACGAAAGCACACCCCCCGGTCCAATCTGTCCATGCCAAACTAAACTAGTCCCAACTGCCTGTGCTTGGCCCACATCTCTCCAAACATTTCTTATTCATGTCAATTATCCAAATCTCTTTTAAGTGCTGTAACCGTACTCGCATCCACTATTTCCTCTGGAAGTTTGTTCCACACACAAACCATACTGTGTAAAAAAAGTTGCCCCTCATGTCCTTTTTAAATTTTTCTCTCACCTTCGAAATAGTTTTGAAATCCCCCAGCCTAGAGAAAAGACACTTGCCACTCACCTTATCTATGCTCCTCACGATTTTATAAACGTCTATAAGGTCACCCTTCAACCTCCTACGCTTCTCTGCACATTTAGGAAGTCTATAAACTCCAATCTTTCTTAACGTTCTCCAAAGACTTACTCTAAATCTTTCCACAGTAGCGGATGGTGCTCAATCTCAGTGAGTGTCGCTCTCTGCTCTGCTGGTGCTAACAAGCGCTCCACAAAATCTCTGGCTTCAGCATGCTTTGGGTCAAGAAGACAATCGTCCAAAGTAGGGTTATTGTCAAGTACATCCTTCTTACTCCCGTAGGCATCCTTCCCGCCAGACATAACAAAGTGCAAGAGGCGTCCTAGTGCCTGTCTCAACAAAGAGAACAACTTTAGACCCAACAGTTTATTTAATGGAAAGAGTCAAATCCCAGCTTCACAAACATACAGCACAGGTTACATTTTACATAGTTGCTCTGTTTCGATGCCCCCACCCCCACTGCTTTTTTTTTTTAAAAACACGCATTTACTTTTCATAGAATTGTCTAAAGTTGCAATCCAGAAGGATACCATTTAGCCCATTCTGTGTCCCCTCTCTGTACGAACTGTCTCAATTTCCTGCCTGTTCTCCATGTATCTATTCTATTTTCCTTTTCAAAGAGTGAAGCACATTCCTAGAAACTGTATTATAGATTCTGCTGTCACTGCGTTTCTCCTCTCACTACTTTCAGCATAGAATAGTTTCTCTCAATCTCTCGGCTCAAAATTTTTGGTCAGCACCAAATAGTCTTTCGAGTCCAGTGTCATTCCCTGTGAGTGTGGCCATGGCCCAACTGTTGACGGAGTTGCCTTTACCGCCTAGTATCCGATTGTGTGATCGGGGAGGGCTGCTGTAATAGTGAGCACCACCCTACAGCTGGTGCTCACTGCTGTGATTTCACATGTGCTTTTGTGCACTGCTCCCTAAAAACAGTGGCCACAGTGACCTGGCCTCATTCCTCCATGGCTTACATCAGGGCACTGAGGCCGAATGTGGAGTGCAGTCTGTCACCGTTGCTGCTGGGATCTACAAATTCAGTGATGCAGCCAGCTATCTTCCAAAGAGAGGTATAAAAACAGGAATTGCTAGAGAAACTCAGTAGGTCTGGCAGCATCTGTGAAGAGAGAAAATTAGAGTTTTCACTCTTCTTTCGAACTTAGCTCCTTCAGAAACTCAGTTCTGAAGAGTCCTACTGGACTCCAAACGTTAACTCTCTTTCACTCTCCACAGACATTGCCAGACCTGCTGGGTTTCTCCTGCATTTTTCTGTTTTCATTTCAGATTTCCAACATCTGTAGTATTTTGCTTTACCCACCCAGGCTAAATGACTGTTCCAACAAGTGGTGTATCTATAATTAAAAACAGAAATTGCTGGAAAATCTGTTCTGAAGGAGGGTCACTGGACCCAAAATGTTAATTCTGATTTCTCTCCACAAATGCTGCCAGACCTGCTGAGATTGTCCAGCAATTTCTGTTTTTGTTTCAGGTTTCCAGCATCTGCAGTTCTTTTGGGTTTTTTTGGTCTGGTGTATCTATATACTGAGCTTTCTTTTGAGAGAACAGACTGGTACTTAGATAATATCAGACAAATCCACATAAGGTGCAGCCACATTGACACAACATTCATTTGAGTAAAATTAATGTGTGATCGGTCACCTTCTCGACTTTTTTTGACTATTGCTTCATGTTCTTTCTAAAGATCATTTACCATCTCTTACAAGCTTTTCACACTTTCTACCTGCTCACTGTATCCTCTCAAATCTCATTCTCCTTCGGTTGCATGAGTGCTGCTCTAACACTCAGACTCGACACCATCCATGCGTTGATGGTCACCCACCCACACAGAATCCCTACAGTGTGGAAGAAGCCATTCAGTCCACACTGACCCTCTAAAGAGCATCCAGATCTGACCCAGCCCCCCTACCCTATTTCCCTTGGCTAACCCACCTAGCCTGCACATCCATGGACACTATGAGCAATTTAGCATGACCAATCCACTTAACCCTGCACATCTTTGGACTGTGGGAGGAAACCAGAGCACCCAGAAGAAACCCTTGCAGATACAGGGGTTGCGAAGGATTAGTATTACAAAAGATCCAGAGACCCAAGTAGTGCTCGTAGGAGCAGTTGGAAACTCTGGGTTTGTACTCAGAGTTTAGAAGGATGAGGGGTAATCTCATTGAAACTTATAGAGTACTGAGAGGCACAGATAGAGTAGACATGAAGATGAAGTTTCCACTAGTAGGAGAGACTAGGAGCTGCGGGCATAGCCTCAGAGCAAAGGGATGACCCTTTCAACCTGAGGTGAGGAGAAATTTCTTTTGCCAGTGTATGGTAAATCTTTGGTACTCATTGTCGCAGAGGGGAGTGGAGGCCAAGTCATTAGGCGTATTTAAGACAGAGATAGGTTCTTGATTGATAAGAGGATCATGGATTATGGGGAGGACACAGGAGAATGGGGTTGAGAAAAACATATCAGCCACGATGAAATGGTGCAGCAGACTCAATAGGATAAACTTCCTAATTCTGCTCCTATGTCTTCTGTCCTGGGTTCAAATCCCACCATGGATTTTGAATTGAATTAAAAAAAAAAAAAAAACAGGAATTTTGGAATCTGGAGTCTGTTTCCCATTGTCAGGAAAAACCCATCTGGTCCACTAATGTCCTTTAGGAAAGGAAAGCTGCCATCCTTACCTGGCCTGACCTACATGCGAATCCAGAGCCACAGCAAGGAGGTTGCCTGTTAAGCACTCTCAGAAATGGCTGAGCAAGGCACTCTGTTGTGACAATCAATAGAAAGGAGAAAAGAAATGGAAACGGCTAGACCACCAACCCAGGAACCAGAAGTGACACGGACTACAGTGGTTCAAGTTGGCAGCTCACCCCATTTCCTTCTCAAGGGGTGACTAGGGAGTGAGCAATAAGTGCTGGCCTAACCAGTGCAACAAGTGAATTAGAAAAGTTCAGCTCCTTCCTTCACTCAATCCCCCCTATCTCTCAACAGCTTTGAAAACTAAACATTCGCATTATCTGACCAAATCCATTGCCAATGCCTGATTTAGCCCAGCCTCCCATTGATTCGTCCAGATATTAGTTGCAATACAGGCTATAACCCTTCAACCTCACCCCTCCAAGAGAGAAAACAAGTCACCACAGCATAGACCTGCACGTCTGCTTTGACCAGCTCATCCTCGGTAAACGTTGCCTTTGGCAAACGTTCCAGTTTCTGCAGGATTTCTGAGGCTTCCCAGGTCCCAGAGCAAATCGGCACGGCTGGATTCTTATCAAAATGCACACACTTATCAAAATCTCCCAGGCGAAAATTTTCTTCAACATCTGTAGAAAATCAAACCATTTTATTGCTCTGCACTCTGATCAGACACACAGCAAAAAGGCTCCAAATCAATTTTAAATACATCCATCTATAGTTCCATTCACTGTTAGACACAATTTGGAATTCTTGGTCTTTGAAGTTCATCTATTACACCCAGGTCAGAGTTTCAGTCACCTTATACTGAGTGGTGGTTTCAGAGTTGACACTTTTTGGGGTTTGAGAAGCTGGGTAAACCCATGAGGGAATAAGGAATAGGGAATAGATGGTGTTGCTGATGCTGAGATGAAGTAGGGTGGGAGCAGGTTTGTTTGAAGCCTAAATTCTAGCATGATCCAGTTGTGACCAATGGCCTGTACCTGAGCTGTGTGCTGTGCTATTGTAAGTGGTGGTGAACTTTTGATGTATATAGATGGCACAAAACTTGGAAGTGTTGTGAATTGTGAGGAGGATAGTGTAGAACTTCACATAGGCCTTAGGTTGGTCACATGGGCAGATAAAGGGCAGATGAAGTTTATTGGAATGAACTGTGAAGTGATTCCGTTAATACAACTAACGTGGAAAGCCAATGTCGGGATCTTCCTCGTCCCTGAACAGCATAGGCAATGGCGGGAAAACCAAGAGAACTTGGAGAGAGACAACCAGCGATTAGTTTCCCGACATCAACCAGCAAAAGGTTCCATTTCCCAATGGAGTGTTGAACGGCGAGACGCTCACTAGGAGTGGCAAGAGGCCTATTTAGTGCGCATTCCCATCCTTGTTACGATGCCACTTAACCTCGCTGATATACAGTTTCCCATTCTCCCACTTGCTCCATGGAACGTAGACAGCAATAATTCTCAGTATGAAAGGAAAAGCAGTAACCTAGCGACTCTAGCGCACCACTTGCTTGTCTGACCCACTATCTCACACTCCCCAACCCCCCTGCCACCGCCCCCTCCAATCCCACACACCTATTCCCACACACCCAGTGTCCTATCCCCACAATCCACAATCCCCCACTCCCGCCACCTCCCATCTCTTCAGTCCCCACTCCCTCAATCCCTCATCCCCAATTCCCCACTCCCACCCCAACTGCAACACACCCCTTAAATCTACCACTCCCACCCACTCTCCCCATTACTCCCACCCCCTCCACACTCTACTACTCCCATCCCTACTCCCATCAGCACACCCCCCGACTCCAATCATCACATCCCATCCCAATACCCTTCACCCCCACTATCGAATGGGAGTATATAATGAGTTGGGCACTGCGGGAATGTGTTGTTTCGATAAACAGGTGACTTTGGGAAGATACCACAAGAAAATTCGCTAAGGCTCGCAGAGAGAAACCCTCCATTAACCTTGGAAAAATTTACACTTCATGGCAAAATTCAGCCCAACATGAAAGGAAGAGAACAGTTCTAAAGGAACTGCATGTATATGCGCTCAATCAAAATGGCAGGAGCAATTAATTAAATGGGTGTGAGACTGATCAAAAATGGATCCACAGCATTGTTTCTTTGATTATTCCTCAACAAGTCGCCTTGATCTTGACAGCAACCTAACCAAAGCAATTCCATTTATGTCACACCCTTTACAGACTGGGAATGTCCAAGCACAGTTCACAGTCAACGAGAGCCTTCAGAACTGTCACCATTCTTGAAAGTCCTGCAGGAAATGACTAAGGGATAAATATGGGCTTCGCTTTTCTAACCTTCTCCAGAGAACGTAACGGGACCTTCTGTGTTCAACTTAGACAGCAAAGCGGGGTCTGAGCTGGACGTCTCAGCCGAAAGCCAGCACACCTCCCACACTGTAGCCTTCTTCAGTTCTGCACAGATGGCAACTTTAGTGATTGCACGAGTGGGAGTGAGCCCACAACTTTGTGATGCCGAAGTCGGAGTGCCACTAACTGACCAAACGCTGATCCCCACACTCAAGGAAGAAAAAAAAACCCATTTTCAGCCAGCGAGTGGTTAAGGTGTTGGATGCACTGCCTGAGAGTGTGGTGGAGGCAGCTTCAATTGAAACATTCCGAAGGGAATGAAACTGTTATTTGAAAAGGAACAATGTGCAGGGTGACAGGGAGAAGGCAGGAGAATGACACTCAGTGAATTGCTCATTCGGAGAGCCAGTCCAGACAGGATGGGCGGAATGGCCTCCTTGTAACACTAACAATTCGGTGAGGCTATGAAAGGCACTATAGAAATACAAGCCATTTTTATTTTCCTCTGTCAGAACCCAAAAAGTAAATTCAAGTAAAATACTGTCAACTTTACAAGGGCAGAGTGTTTTCAAAGCTGGCATTCTTGGAACTGAAGACTGGAACTCAGTGGGTGCAATCCCCACTGCAGACTTTAGCACAAAACATGCACCTCAGGATTGAGGATTGGGGTGACAAATGGCCAGGACTGCACTCATTACCCCTGAATTTGTCTTCTTCTGCCTCACTCCCAAGCCACAGAATCCTTCTCGGTGCCAGGTTTTCCATGCTTCCCTGCCTTGACTACTCACCTGCTCTCTGAACTCTGCTGTTTTCTCAATGTTTGCCCCACAGCCTTTGCACATGACCATGTAACTACGCCTCCTCAGTCCCTTTGTTCTTGCACATCTCTTATCTGTCATTACTTAAAAGCTGTTCATTCCTAACTTCTCCGAATTCTGACGAAAGGTCTTCCAACTGAACTTTAACTCTGTTTCTCTTTCTATAGGTGCTGTTAATTCTCACTGCTGAATATTCCCAGCATTTTCCACGTTACATTAATTCTGATTAATTGTATAGAAGTGGATGCCTGTATAAATAGACACAGATTGAAACTGTAGTTATCATGGAAGATAAGGGCCCTAAGTGTTGACTGCTGCAATCCCTCATTACCACAACTTTCCAACAAAGACAAAGACATCGCTTGCATGGTGGTTGAGAAGGGCACTGTCAGACCCTTCACGTACACCCGGTCGGTCTGCACCACCGCACGCTGTCCTCAAAGTGGCTGCAGGGTGGTGGTGGTGGTAGAGGTCGGGGAGGGGGTGGTGGAGGGTACTGTCACACATCTCCTGCCAGAATGTGCCTTTGCAAAGGAAGTCTGAAGAGACAAGCAACGGTTTTTGTCGAGATTCATCCCAAGCAGCTCCATGACGCGGGAATCTATGCTCTACGGTCTGTTCCCTGGGACGCAGACCAAGACAAACAAACATCTACTGGGCCTGGAGGACCATCAACTTTGTGAAAGATGCTCTTTGATCTGCCTGAACCTTGTTGGTCTTCCAGAACAAGCAGTCAACCCTGACTGAGTGTTGCAGACTGGCACATTCCAAGGTCCAGGGCTACGTGCTGAGGGATGCACTAAAGCTTGGGGCAGCTGCCCCCAAGGCGCAGTGGGGAAAAGGCCACAGTCTGAGGTCTTTCTGCCAAAGTTAAATGGGGGTCCGTTCAGTTATCGAACCGATGTAAATATAATCTTGTACAAGTAACAAATGCCTTGCTGGATAGGGTCAAATCCAAAGTTTGTTTTGTTTCTTCATGTGCTACTGTAGACAACCAAACTGCTTTGGTTACTGAGTACATATATAAAGATCTCTTTATGAATAAAGTATATATTTGAAATTAAATGAAAACTGCTTGGCCTGCTGAGTTTTTTTTAAACATCGTAACAATTTCTGTTTTTACTTAGGACTGCTGGCACCTGCAATATTTGAAACTATAATTTTTAGGTTAGGAAATGTGTGCTTATAAGGTGTATCTCATAAATAAATGCTTTTAGGGCATATAAAGATTAGCTCCTGTTCCATCTTCCACACCTGCATTAGAACACAATGAATTGAACATTGGAGCAGCACAAAGAATTTAACTGGGGACGCCTCAATGTACTAACTCTCCAAAATATGCAAAAATGTTTAAGAGACGTTACCTCTGAGGACATTTGTTGGATGCAAATCCCGGTGAGCAAACTTAACCTTGTGCAAGAGCTGAAGAGCCTGAACCAACTGCTTCATTATTTTAGGGGCGTCCCCTCGCATTTTGTCTGGCCACTCGCTCACACACTCCTCAAGGTTATACTCGCAGAGGTTCAGACAGAGATAATCACAATAATCATCACTTTCACAATGCAGGAGGTTAGCAAAGCGACTGCTGCCATTGATCTTGGGATCACGGAGGCAATCCAATTCTCTTTTGGCTCCTTCCACACCCTTCCTGTGACATTTTACCGCCACTTCAGTCTCATTATTGACGAAACCAAGGTAGACTTCCGTCACATTGAGTTCTTCTCTAATCTTATAATCGGGGATTCTGGATAGTTTTAGCTTCCCAATGGGGCCACGGGGCTCCCTCTGCAGCTTCCCAAGGATTATTTTCCAACGTTGGCTGTGCTCCTTCCATTTTGAAGGAGGTGTGCCTACATTGGATGCCACCTTCTCTGCCCCATGCTTGATCAGTATATTTTTGGTTTTATTGTCATACTTCCTTATGGCTATCATTAACGCCGTATCTCCATGATTGTTCGTACAGGATACATCAGCCCCTTTCTCACACAGCATTCGTGTCAACGAGGTATCCTTATTTTCCACAGCTGCTAGTAGGGCTGTCTGGCCCGAATGATCTTGTGCATTGATTGCCGTGCCCTCATTCTCCAGCAGAAGTTTAACCACCATCGACATCTTCTTCTCTACTGCACGGATCAATGGTGTTTTCCCATGGCCGTCCTGGACATTCAGATCCTGTGTGCACTTCACGAGCTGTTCCAACAGGGGGCTGTCAGGGCTACAGTTGGTCAACGCGATGCTCAGAGGCGTGTTCTGGTTTTTGTCCCTGGCGTTAACGTCGGCTCCCCGCTTTAACAGAATCTCCACAATCTCCCAATTCCCGCTCTCCAAGGCGTGGATGAGTGGCGTTTTGCCGAGGTTGTCAAATGCATTAACGTCCGCCTTCATTTCATCCAACAAGATCACAACGATGTCCTCACGCTTGTTCAACACGGCATCAATCAGGGCTGTCTTCCCCCCTTTACCAATATTCGCCCTGGCCTCAGAGACCATCCTGTGCTTGTTCACATCGGCCTTTTCCTGGAAAAGGAAGCGCAGCGCCTCCTCGTGGCCGTACTGTGCTGCTTCCATAAAGGCAGTAAAACCGTTGCCGTCTGCCTCGTCGATATCCGCGCCCAGCCCGAGAAACTTGCTGAGCAGATTCACATTGCCAATTATCGCAGCGACAATGAAAGGCGAGGCGCCATTCTTCTTCTGGAGCTTGGGGTCGGCTCCGTGTTCCAACAGCAAGTCAACAATTCTCTCATGTTCCGCTTGCACGGCGTTAAGGAGGGGCGACCACTTATATTCCGGCTCCTGGTAATTCACATCTACCTTGTCGCTCAAAAGCAACTTCTTCATGATTTCTTCGTGACCTTTCATGGCAACTTTACATAAAATGGAGCCAATCGTGTCAACACTGAGATTTTCCAAGGCTCCCTCTCTAATTAACGTTTCAGCCTGACAGGGGTCTGGATTGTTGGACTCACAGAGATCTCGAAAGTTATTACCCAGTTCGGTTCCAATGTCTTCAATTGTTTGTTCCCTTTCTTGTTCTGCCATTCTCGATAAAAGTCTAGCTTCCTTCCTGTTTAGAAAACAAAGCAATTACTCCACTGCCGTGGCTAAGTGCACCTCACGCCTAACTTCATCTACCTCAACCACCAAGTGCACTTTCACTTCCCTTTTTCGACAGAGCCATTTGTCACCCAGGCCCTGTGTTGCTGTGGATCCTAATTTCTTCAGGGAATATTCTTCACTATTTTGGCTCAACCGTCAAACAGTTGAGCAAATCAAGGCAAATCAGGGTAGGCTTTCACTATTAATAGTAGGGCCTGGGGATTGTTGCTGAACAAAGAGACTTAGGGGTGCAGGTGCATGGTTCCTTGAAAGCAGAGTCACAGGTAGACAGGGTAGCGAAGAAGGAACAAAAACAGAAGTTGCTGGAAAAGCTGAGCATGTCTGGCAGCACCCATGAAGAGAAACCAGAGTTGGTGTTTCAGGTCCGGTGACCCTTCCACAGAACCCAAAACGTTAACTCTGATTTCTCTTCACAGATGCTGCCAGACCTGCTGAGCTTTTCCAGCAGAGATAGTAGAAACTGCAGATGCTGGAGAATCCGAGACAAGGTGCAGAGCTGGATGAACACAGCACGCCAAGCAGCATCATAGGAGCAGAAAGGCTGACGTTTCGGGCCTAGACCCTTCATCAGAAA